GTGATCTCGCGGTTTGGGAGTTCAAGCCCCGCGTCGGGCTCTGTGTTGAGAGCCCAGAGCTTGGAGCCTGGAGCCTGCTTCGGATTCTGTGTCTCCCTCTCTCTCTCTGCCCCTCCCCCACTCACACTCTGTATCTCTCTCTCTCTCTTTCAAAAATAAACATTAAAAAAGAATTAAATTTAAAAAAGGATTGCTAGATCATCTGGTAATTCTTTTTTTTTTTTTTTTTTTTTTTCTTAACTAATCTCTAGACCCAAGGCGGGGCTTGAACTCATGACCCTGAGATCAAGAGTCACATGCTCTACTGTTTGAACCAGCCAGGCACACCTGGTAGTATTATTTTTAATTTTTTGAGGAATAGACGCATTTTTAAAAAGACGGCCAGGGCTAGTGAAAAAGCTAATTAAAGTAGCTAAAATCTCATCTTCCCAGTGAATGTTTTTTTTCTAGCGCTGCTTTTGCTAAAGTTGTGGCTCTTTCCAAGTGGAGGAGTGTGGGACATTAGAAGTTAACTGGGGGCAAGCAAACCCTCACACCAGCTGTCAGGTTGGAGAAAGAGGTCAGTATCCTATTTCCTTGGAGAAAATTAGAACCAAGTATAAGCCACAGGGGGAATGGAAGGAATAAAAATTTTGTAGCTGCAGATTGGTACTTAGGAGATGAGAAACTTTCTTTTCGCTTGGCTAGGACTTCTTGTAGGACCCCTTTTTGACTAGCTGCTCACGTGTGGTGCAGCACATTCCAGAAACACTGAGGTCGAACTGGCTCTCAGGGCCAGTGTTTTCCAGAGAAGCTTACGCATAATTGGCTGCATGGCAAATAGGCAATTTTTGGTCAGATATGGTCTGGCTTCAGCCTCTTCGGAGGATGCGATTCTGTCTTTTCTAGAATCTGCCAAGCCAGGTGCATCTGGTGCCCACCGAGGTCAAGTGCCCCACATTTCAGAGGGGGCATGGGTGGGTCTGCCTGCCTCCCTCACTGCCTGGTGCTGAGGCTGGGTTCCCTGAGGAACCCAGAACCCAGGACAACAGCGGTGGACGGCCACACACGATGAGCCAGAGCCTTCCAGGCTCCTGGCGACTGCGAACTTCTTCTCTGGCACAGCTGTAGGGTTCATTCGATTCTGGTGGCCGGGCCTTGTCTAATGGAGTCAATAAACTGAATGTCCTTGTCCAGAATGATCCAGACACCAAAGTTTTCCTATGTAACTCATTTGAGGTTGTTTTTTTTTTTTTTAATTTATTTTGAGAGACCAACAGAGATAAGTGGGGGCAGGCCAGAAGGAGAGAGAGAGAGAGAGAGAGAGAGAAAGAGAAAATCCCAAACAGGCTATGTGCTGTCAGCGTGGAGC